GCACGCGAGTTTCGAGGTGCACACGCCGCAGGAATTGGATGCGTTGTTGAATGACGCGGATTTCAATAAACCCGACAGGATTAGGCTGATCGAGGTGTTTATGCCACGGTAAGTTCACAACGTCACGGCCCGGTGGCGTTTCTCGGGGGTTTTGTTTTGTTTTGCCAGCGCTGATCCGATATCGTGTCATTGCGTGCTTGTTGCTTGGGTTGCTTGTTTGATTGTTCCCCGGACGTGTGTATTTGCGTGTGTGTAGAGGCGACGCTCCGGAATCGCTGTTGAACCAGGCGAGATTGACGGCACAGGCGAATGCCAAGGCTTAAAGGCGTCTGTCTGGGGTGGGCTCGGCCTGGGCCAGGTGGCTCCCTTGGTAGGGGGGCGATTTCCTTGGAGGGGTACCTTTCGGAGCAGCCCGCGGTAGCTTTGTGTGAGAGATGCGCACGGGGTGCCAAAGGATGAAAGAATGTGGAAGGAGATGTGGAAACGTCCCGGTGGTGTGTGTGTTGCGTGTGTGCGTGTAGAGTCTGTGAAGACGAACGGTGGAGGAAACTTGGCAATAGTAGAAACTGGAAGACGTTCTGATTGGATTGGAATGGAAATGAAGCAAGTAAACAGAAATGAAGTGAAACGCTTATGTATGTATAGATATATCGCAAGAAGATTACCGTAAAATCGTCCTCATCTTCTCGGATCGAATCTTACCACTAGGAGGAGCTCAGGGCTTCTAATACGACGAGAATGACAAAGAAACAGGATACCGTATAGCGAGCAAGCACGGTCAATGAACAATACCATGCCTAGCCTACCGTGCTTAATCCGCCAGCCAACGAGTGAGTGAGTTAGTCCCGCGCCCTTTGTAGTTTGGCGTTTCAGCCCCTGAATGAGTGATCGAAACAGGCGGGGAAAGGCCCCGCGTGATAGGGGACAGGGGCCTTTGCTTTTCTTCGGGGAGGGAGGAGGGATCGTCTCTTCCTTTTCTCTTTTTTGATCATTGGATTTTAGGTTTATTAGGGGTATATTAGGTGGGTGGTGGCGGTTTTGGGTTGTTGGCCCTTGGACGCCGCCTTACTTTGCCTTTACTTTCGATCCTTCGGCCTGCCTGCCTGCCTGTTTGTTTGTCGACCAGTACGAAGAGGACTGCCAGACAATCAGAGTTTTTCGGAAGAAGGATCAACCGCGCAGATCCGCCTTGTACGCCGATCAAAACGAGGCGAGGAGAATCGGCCGGTCGTTGCACGTCGACGGTGCTGTGTTGTGCATACCACTTGCATACCCGTAGGGTAGCGGGGACGGGTTTTCAATTCTCGGTCGCGTCTTGTTGCCCAAAGGAAGGAGGAAAGGAAGGACGACCGGGAAGAAGAGATCGAGGAGCTTGGGTCGGCGCTTCAAGGGAGTCTAGGAGGTGATAGTGGTAAACAACGGACAAGCAGACAGCGGTTAGCAGACGGCGAGCAGTCACAACGACCGATCCACAAGGAACGACCTACCACCCGACCCCCACACCGCGCATAGACACGCACACACGACGCCGAGACATGTTCTCTACGAAGAAAGGCTTCCTCCCCCGTTGTTGGGTCCTTTGCGTCGTCGCTGTTGTTGCGATGCTCAGCGGCAGCGGTATCCCGAAAGTACACGCGGCGGAGATAGTCGTTCATGATAATGCGCCTCTGGCACTCGCTACTACTGGTGATGGTCTGTCCTGGCGCCGGCAGGAGAAGCAGCGGCGGCAAGGGAAGCAGAGGGATATGCAGGGTGGAGGAGGAGGGAAGAGCGGAGAACAGTGGTGTAATCAGGTACGTTCTCTTTTGGCTTTTCTCTCTTGTCTTTTTTCCCCAGGAATTCGTTGTTTGTCCTTCGTCGACCGACCGACCGACCGACGGACGAGTCATAGGCCGGTCGTCCTCCTCCGCTGTTCTGGCTTGCTTTGCCTCCGTTGCGGCGCCTTTGCAGCCTATATTGACTGATCTCTTCTTGAACATGGAATGCCACACATCCCGATGATGATGCTGATGCGGGGTTTTTACAGTACTTTTGCTTGACAGTGACGGTGCCTTCCGCCTACACCACCTCTGACTCCGGCTCCAGCTCAGGCTCACGCTCAGGCTCCGCTGCGAGAGCCTTGAAAACGTTAGGAAAAGAGGCGAACGAAACGACGACGACGACGACGACGGAGATCACATACTCGTTGGTCGCTCGCTCAGCAGAGGAGGGGGGAGTGCCCGGGTGGCTGGCAGTGGGTGTAGGGCATCAGATGATGGGTGGGAAGATGTGGGTTGTGTGGTGGTCTTCCTCGAATGGAGGAGGTTGCGTGTTGAGTGAACGTGATGGTGTAAGTCCTACCCTGCTTGAGATTTCTCGTTCTTCTGACGAAGCTGATCACCACTTGCTTGCCTTCGCACGTACGCGCCTGTTCGATGTACTTTCGTGGAGCAGACGGGTCATAAACCGCCTACGATCACAACGGAGCCTATAGCTCGTCTCTTACCAAACGCTACGACCAGTACCATCACTCGAGGGTCAAACAACACCACAACAACGCCACCCCAGCCCTTTGAATGCACATGGTCCGTCCCCGTTGAGAAACTCACGTACTTTGAGGGCGGATGGCCGAGCGTAGTGGCACGTGGTGCAACGCCGATTCCCATGATGTGGGCGCATTCCGGCGTGTCACCCGTCCTCGTACAAGGAGGGTCGGGTCAGGATGCAGCGGGAGCGGCGATAAAGATGCACGATGCGTTTGGCACGTTTGGGATTGATTTGGGAAAACAGTTCGTGGGAGAAGACGAGGGTGAGGATGCGGGAGGTGCAGGTGCAGGTGCAGGTGCAGGTGCAGAAAAGGACGATCTGAAGGGGAAAAGGAGGAAGATGGTGATTCGGGCGCATGCGGTGGTTATGGTAAGACGCTCCTTCCCACCTGTTTCGTTGTTTCAACTGAGAAAGGCAGAAACGTGACTGGGGAGAAGGAACGCTGACTCGTTGTCGTTGCTGCTGCTTCTGGGTAGACGATAGCGTGGATCGTGACGGCCCCTATCGCGGTACTTTTCGCGCGATACGGTCGGTAAGCAATTGCTTTTCGGGGCCACCACCTACCGAAGAGCTGAGGGACGCTGATCCGCTCGTGGCGGCATGGTGTGCTTTGTATACAGTGGCGCATTCAAATGGGTGCCGTATCATCAGTACCTCCAGATTGGGGGAACGGCACCGTTGGCCCTTGTGGGATTTTTCCTGGCTGTTTCGGCTGTGGTGATGCGTGGCGGGAAATCGTTTCAAGGGGCACACGAGGTCGGTCGCCCTTCTGCCACTCTTACTACCGGTATGAATGCGCGCTAATGCTGTTGGAACACCAGATACTCGGGCTGCTGTTGTTTCTTTTGCTGTTACTGCAAGTCAGCTCCGGGCTGTGGATACATCATCTTTACAACCCGGATAGAACACACCGCCCGTCGAGAAACTATTTCCATATGACTGCGGGATTAACGTTGCTTGTCGGTGGATTTGTCGATGTTCAGCTGGGAATCCGAAAGTGGGGTAGTCCCAGGTGGATGGTTGTTTCGTACTGGGTCTGGACAGGGGTGAGTGCGCGCCGAAGTCCCTGGCGGAATTGAGAGAGAAGGAGACTGATGCAGTGATTTCCGCATCGTCTGCGTGTAGCTGCTGATCGCGACGTTTGTGCTGGGGTATACATTGCTTCCGAGGCAGTTGAGGCAGGAAAAGGAGGCGGCAAAACAGAGGAATCCTACCACAAGACTAAGTCGTACGTGACGTTCTTATTGCTCGTTCTCCCGGGGGTTTCCTTGCTGATTCATCTGGGCGACCATGCTAGGCATTCAAGCATCCTTCCCCGATCGCGACAACAAGTCCAAGATCTCGCCGTTCCCTTCTGCAAACAGTCCGTCACCAGGAGTGGGTAGCGCCTCGAAGAGCAAGATCAAATATCCTTGGCATGCGCGACGAGTCGGTGCAGGGGATATGATGGGGGATATACCGATGTTGGAGCATAATGATAGGATGAATGGTTTGTCTGTACCTCCACCGAGCGGTGGGATCAATCGTGATGAGACCGAGGGCAGGGATGGTAACTTTGGGCAAAGAGGACGCCATGGGATGTGGCGAGCAGCTTGATTTCGCGACATGCATGGAGAGTCGCTTGATGCGAACGTATGGGAATAGCGCTTGATGCGCATTGTGTACATTTTTTTAACCCCGTTGTATTATCAAATTCAAGAAAACATGTACGCAAGAGGCAGCTGAAGAAACTGCTACCACAAAAATCAAATCGACACGACTGTCTGCTGCTCTTCCCCGAGGTGTTTCAAGTGGTTCCTTTTATTCCTCGAAGGGCTGGCTTGCAGCAGTATGTGTGAGCGCGATGGGAGCACGTCATTACGAAACCTGTTCGGTAGGTGTTATTAACCCACTGCAGATTTGATATAAATGAAGCTGATTCTGAAACGTCAATTAGCCTGGTTAGCTCAGTCGGTAGAGCGTACGACTCTTAGCTTCTTCGGAAGGTAGGCATCGTACGGTCGCGGGTTCGAACCCCGCATTGGGTTGATATCTTTTGCATGGTTTGGCTAATCTATTGCCTGGCTATCCCTGCTTTTGCTTCTACTGGCCTACACTAACGTGGCTCCCTTATCCCTTGTATGTTCGGAGCAACCACTAGCCCGGCTTCGGGCATGCATTTCTTCATTCGCTCTCCTTCTCAAGCTCCTTGTCGGTCCGACGCAGAACATGAGCGTCCTTGCTCGTCCTGCTGGCTAGCACGCTCCCAAAGCATCCCCGCGAATCTAAACACCTTCTTTTAATACAAACTTGCTCTTTATAGAAGCTCTTTAACGAAAAGGAAACCTGCGGCTGATAAGCCCAGCTCGAAGGTAAACACGACACTCCTCGTCAGTTATATGACACGGGTGAGAGGCGAAAGTTGGGGGGTTGGGAGCTCGAGTATTGCTGACAGAAGCTACATAACTTTCTTGAAACATCACCCATCAATCAAAGGCGCTTTGCCGGAGTGGTTAACGGGTGTCCCTGCTATTCGACCTTGTGGTCCAGCACAGGATATGGTCTCTGACCGCGTGTGTTCGAATCGCACAGGCGTCGCATCCTTTTTGCCTTGTCTTTCTTGCCTCTGTCCCTCTATGCATATTTCTTCTTTTGCTATGCCCACTACCTCACTATCTCAACATGCAATAGCACTCAAGTACCCGACTGGCATAACATGTCATGACTGTGATAGTTCCTCCTCCTTCATAGAACCTCACCTTCTCACAGAGTTTTTGCGCCTTTCGCAAGCGCGGGTGCGCCGAGCGTGGTGGTTGGTGATCGGTCGTCGAGCAACCATCCGAGGTGTAATGATCAATGTTGTGTCTTGTATGAATCACACACTTCTACCTCTTTGCTGTTTGCCCCGACCTCTTCACAACTCTGCACATCAGCCAACATGCATCTGCTGAACCTGACTCTTCAGCCTCCGACGGCTATCACCCTCGCCGTCCTCGGCAATTTTACCGCGCCGAAGCAGCAGGAAGTGGCAGTATGTCGTGGCGGTACTCGGTTGGAACTGCTTAAGCTGGACTCGAGTGATCCGGACAACCAGAGAATGAACACGATATGCAGTACAGAGGCATTTGGCAGTATCCGGAATATGGTGCCGTTCAAGCTTACGGGTCAGGGCAAAGGTGCGTTGTTTTGCAGGCTCTCGTGTGGTTGTTGACGCTGACCGCGCTGCGTATTCAGACTACCTGATTCTCACCTCGGATTCTGGACGGCTGTCCATCCTGGAATTCGAGATGCACCCAACGCCTCATTTTGTTTCGCTCTACCAGGAGACGTACGGTAAAACGGGAGCTCGTCGCATGGTGCCAGGACAATGGTTGGCAGCAGATCCAAAGGGTCGAAGTGTCATGGTCGGATCGTGAGTCTTCTTTTTCGCACTACGTCACCCGGGACGTCATTTGAATAGCGGAATCACCTTTGACAGTCTCGACAAGGCAAAGCTGGTCTATATCCTGAACCGAAATGCTGAAGGGAAACTCTTCCCCTCGTCACCTCTCGAGGCCCACAAGCCGCAAGCCATCATCTCCGCCATGATCGGATGTGACGTCGGATACGATAACCCTCTCTACGCTTGTCTCGAAACGAGCTACGAAGATGCTGATGCGGACTGGACTGGTGAAGCTTTTGAACGGGCTCAAAAGGTAAGTTCAGCGTGCAAACCCAAACCCGGTATCCGACCCAACGCCTTGCTCCCCGTAGATGCTTGCCTTTTACGAACTGGATCTCGGTCTGAATCACGTAGTCCGGAAAGAGACCATCCCGACAGACAATAGAGCGAATCTCTTGGTCCAGGTTCCCGGTGGACAGTCTGCTCAGACGGACAAATTCGAGGGTCCTTCCGGTGTTTTGGTCTGCTGTGAAGATCACATCATGTGGCAGCACCACGACGCTAGCTCGCATCGTATACCGATTCCAAGGCGGAGGAATCCTCTCGCGGCCGAAGATGAGGAACCGAGAGGGATTATTATCGTGGCTGCAGTCTTGCATAAAATCAAGGTGAGTAGCTCAGTAGCGACGGCCAGATCACGTAGACTTAAAACAGTAACCTCGTTGTAGGGCAGCTTTTTCTTCCTGTTGCAAACCGAAGATGGCGACTTGTTCAAAGTCACGATCGACCACGAGGACGAGGAAGTCCGATCCCTCAACATTCAGTACTTTGACACTATACCGGTCGCCAACAGTTTATGCATCTTGAAGAGTGGTCATCTGTTTGCGGCAAGCGAGTTTGGGAACCAGTAAGTTGGGTTACGCATATGCCGATACGTCCGTTTGGCTGACCAACACCGATTACAGCGCACTATACCAATTCCTGTCTCTCGGTGACGATGATGAAGGAACCACATGGAGTTCCGTCAACTATCCCAGCAACGGAACCGGCGACGATCCTTTACCCTACGCATTCTTCAGTCCACGAAGCCTTACCAACCTTTGGCAAGCAGACACCTTGCAGTCCATTGACCCAGTCGTCGACGCCAAAGTATCGAATCTCCTAGGTGTCGCTTCGGATACACCGCAAATCTATGCTCTTTGCGGACGAGGACCGAGGAGTACTTTCAGAATGTTGCGACACGGGTTGGATGTAGCGGAGATGGTGAAATCGGAATTGCCGGGAACTCCGAATGCTGTGTGGACAGTGAAATTGCGAGAATCAGGTAGGTTCTGTTTGAAAGTCTTGGTAAAGATTCGGTCTGACGTAAACCTCCTTTCCTAGATGCCTACGATTCCTACATCATCTTGTCATTTATTAACGGAACGCTCGTACTCGCCATCGGCAACACCATTGAAGAAGTCCAAGACACTGGATTCTTGTCATCGGCACGCACCATAGCCGTTCAGCAGATTGGCGATGCAGGTCTGCTACAGGTTCACCCACAAGGTTTACGGCATGTGCTGGAGGACAAGACGGTGAACGAGTGGCCCTGTCCACCCGGTCGAACTATTATTGCGGCCACAACCAACAAGCGACAGGTCGTGTTGGCTTTGAGCTCTGCAGAACTGGTATATTTCGAGCTGGATCCTGTGGATGGCACGTTGAGCGAGTATCAGGATAGAAAAGGGTTGCCGGCAAATGCGACTTGTTTGAGTATCGCAGAAGTCCCGGAAGGCAGACAGAGGACCCCTTTCTTGGTACGTCCCTGATGGGACTTCAAGCTTCATCCCGTAGGATAGCGCATGCTCATCTCGCTTCACAATTAGGCTGTTGGATGCGAGAATCAGACTGTGCACATTATCTCTCTGGACCATGAAAACACATTTACAACACTCAGTTTGCAGGTGAGTGTGATACATTACTCGAGGTGTCTCGCAAACTGACAGCTCATCGTGAATACGCATTATAGGCCCTGACGGCACCACCATCAGCCATTTGTCTCGCTGAAATGTTCGATACCACTATCGATAAGAATCGACCTACGATGTTCCTCAACATCGGTTTGCAGACCGGTGTGTTGCTGCGTACAGTAGTTGACAGCGTGAACGGCGAATTGACGGATACGAGAACGAGGTAAGTTGATAGTCCAGCTAGAATTGTATCAACGCTAACCACATGTGCACACAGATTCTTGGGATCGCAGCCTGCCAAGCTAATCCGAACTGAGGTCCACGGTGCTCCTGCCATCCTGGCATTATCAAGTCGATCGTGGCTCAATTACACGTACCAAGACCGTCTGGAGTTTGCCCCGATCATCTACGATTCGCTCGAGTATGCGTCTTCCTTTTCGGCTGAGATGTGTCCGGACGGCTTGATCGGTGTTACCGGCAACACGTTGAGGTGAGCTTCTGCGCGGTTTCTTTACAAACCATGTATGCTAACCAACGACAACACTGTAGAATATTCACGGTACCAAGGCTAGGCGCAAAGCTGAAGCAGGATATTCTGCCATTGACCTATACTCCTAGAAAAATGGCCGGACATCCTGCCTTGCCGTTCTTTTACCTCATCGAATCGGACAACCGGACATACGGACCAGCAGCTATCAGTCGAATTCTCAGCGAAAAGGTACATACCATCTATGAACTCTTTGGTCTGATTAACTTGATCTGATACTGATGTACGTTTCTTGTTTTCATAGCAGACGTCCAACGGTAAACAGGATATCTCGGTGTTGGAACTGCCAGCGGAAGACTTTGGCAGACCAAAAGCGGAAACCGGGCACTGGGCTTCGGTGATCCGAGTTGTGGACCCCTTCTTCCAGCCTCCGCCGGATGCTGAGGACGGATCGGAAAAGCCACAACGGCCAGAAAGCTTGATGGCCATAGATTTGGATGAAAACGAAGCCGCGTTCAGTATCGCCGTGGTCCCGTTCGTGGAGAAGAACGGCGAGCTTTGTTTGGTTGTCGGAACGGCCGTGGATGTCACCCTTTCGCCTCGGACCACGTCAGGGGGCTTCCTTCGTGTGTACAAGATCAGTCAGGATGGTCGCAGCCTAGAATACATGCACAAGGTGGGCAGATGTGGATCGCTGGTAAAGGAAGTGCTAATATCCATTCTATGACTCGTAGACACCTGTTGATGACGTTCCCACCGTACTCAGTGGCTTCCAGGGTCATCTGTTGGCGGGCGTTGGCAAAGCGCTGAGGCTCTACGAACTAGGAAAGAAACAGCTTCTTCGAAAGTGCGAGAACAACGTAAGTAATAATGGCTAGTATCGATATGAACTCGATCAGCTGATTTTGTCTTTGAACATGCAGACCTTCCCTACTGCTATTCTGTCTATCAATACTCAGGGATCTCGAATCATCGTCGGCGATATGCAAGAATCGACCTTCTTCGTAGCCTACAAAACCGTACCTCACCGGCAACTGCTGGTCTTTGCTGACGATACCCAGCCGCGATGGATTACGGCAATGCACATGGTCGATTACGAAACGGTGGCGTGCGGTGACAAATTTGGAAACATCTTTATCAACCGGCTGCCAGAACACGTCGGTGCGACGGTAGATGATGACCCCACCGGCGCCGGTATCCTGCACGAGAAGGGGTTCTTGATGGGTGCCGCCCACAAGACATCGATGCTCGCCCACTACAACGTTGGAGGAATTGTCACGTCGTGAGTAGACCACCACAGACGGCTTCTTCGATATCAAATTGACCCATCCTGTCGACCATCCTTTCAGCATTACCAAGACTCCCATGGTTGTTGGCGGACGAGACGTTCTCGTCTACACTACGCTAGGTGGCTCGGTGGGCGCATTGATTCCTTTCACCAGCAAAAGTGATGTTGAATTCATGACGGATCTGGAGATGGTACGTATTATATCTCGTCGACTGATTCGAGAGCGACCCACTGACAAGTCTTTTGAACTGCGCTGCAGCATCTACGAGGCGAACCTGTGTCACTCGTTGGCCGAGATCACTTATCCTATCGGAGTTACTACGCACCGGTCAAGTCCGTCATCGACGGCGATCTTTGCGAGGCGTTCGCCTCATTGCCATATGGTCGACAACAGGCCATCGCCGGGGATCTCGACAAGAGTGTAGGGGATGTGTTGAAGAAGCTGGAAGGCTTGAGGACGAGCAGTGCATTCTAGTTTCTGGATGTTGA